ATAAACCTATTAGCCCTTTAATGCTAGACAAATAGAGAATTTAAGCAGCGAATTGCAAAGCACTTCTTTCACCACAAGCCCAGATATAAAGAAAGCAAAAAGACAAAGTTTCTGTTTTTTCGGAGCTCGTGCGGTCACTTGATTTTATTGCTGCCGAATGATATATTGTCGCATCGATAAGGGAACGACACTAAGTTGTCTTGACCATAAAATATTAGGATTTTTAGATCAAGCTGTGTTTTTCCTTGTGCTTTCTTATAAAAAAAATTACGTATTTCTTGCAAGAAGCTTTAATTATTCGCGACAATCTCGTACAGATAGTCAAAAGTGACTGCTGTGATGAATAATATGCTGAGTCCCCCACAGCGGCCAAAAATACTACAGATTTATAATCCAGAATTTGTACCTTTAATAATGATTTATCATTAAAATGACATGCTTGACTGGAGTTCTTTACCTTTGAAACCCACTCTAAGTCTCCAATTGCCTTAACTACGTATTATTAGGTGAACCGAAACCCCATAGGGTGACATACATGGTCGATTATGTTCTCGAATAATTTGACTGTAAAGCGTGCTGTTTCGATCTCCAGTGCATGTGTACATTCATACACAAAAACTGGATAACTAATACGCAAACAGCCAACAAAACATTGAGAACTTTCCAGCTGAAAAGCGTAAACGATGTGTAAAGAATGATCCTTCTGCTGCCATTCTATTTTCTTTTGTGGTTTAAGCGAAATAGATTTAAGGTTTTTTAGGATACTGAGAAGAGAACAAAAAGTGGAATTTTAACAGACAAAAAGGTGAATGAAACAAGAGGCTGAATTGTTCTTAAGGAGGTATCTGCAAGTTTTTGAACATAATAGCTTGATCGTGTACACCTATCGCTCTGATTTGCAACAATTAATGATGCAGAAAAAACTCTCATAATAAGAAGAACGAACACAAATAAGATGGCAATTTTTGAATGTTTTGTTAGATTTGCGAGCTTACCACGCTTGCTGAAAGCTACAATGTCCTGAATAAGGTGAGATCAACAACAAGTACATTTTCTGCAAAATCTTTTACCCTCTAGGTTGTGCACACAAGAAAGCTGTTTGCTCAAGGTTTTTCAGGTATGGCGAAGTCTGAAGTAAGTAATTACGTATTACTTGGGGTAACTATTTGCTCTTGGTCTCAACTTGATTTCTCACCAAATTTCTCCTTTGAGATATTGAGCACTTGCTTGATATTGAAATAGAAAAAAGGCACTAAGGATTAAAAAACTAAGCATATATCTCAAATTGAAAATATAGAAGTGTATAAAATGGCGTATTGCAATCTAACAAATTTCTAAACAAAATGTCTTATAAAAAGGAGGTTTTATCTCAATAGTTTCTATATAGCAGGTGTTTTTAAGCAATTCCATAGTTGAAAATACATTTCCGTTCTTTCTACTTCTAGGTACAAAGTCGAACTTGCTATTAAGTTTTAAAAAAATTTCTTTGGATAGAAAAATCTTGCTCGAAAAATTTAGTAATTAGGAAACAATGTTATCGTGAAAAGTTACTCGGTCACATCAAACCGGATGTATTGTTCTCATTTCGCTTCTTATAACCAAGGCGGTTATAAAAGGTTATGTAGTTTGCCAGACAAACTTCGG